CACGTTGTGATGCGGCAGCCGCCAGCATCGTCCGCGACGACGGCACCGCGAGCAGCCGCAGTAACACGGCTGCCATCGTGTGTTTTACTCTTTCGTATGACGTATGATGCTGCCGCCGCTGCCGTCGTCGTCTCGTGGCAGTCACCGTCGCTCAGAGACCTCAAGCTTGAGGGGAGAGTTCCCCTAGCTCTCTCGAAATTCGCCGCCGCCGCGAGCGTCCGTAGAACAACCTCGCGGACAACGGCTCCGGGGTATACGGGCCCAATCCGCCGATATATATTCGCTCAAGGAGCGGCTCAGAGTTCGAGCACCAGAACAGATTGTCTCGGCTGTCTACAGGTTACGACTTTCGACTACGGCGGGCTTGGGAACGATTTTAGTCGTCGCCAGCTCCGCGGCTGCCACCCGTTATTCGGTATGCCGTTCTGACTTCACCCAGTCGCCGCGTAGCCGACGAGGCTTTTCGGGCGACGACGACGCAGCAAGCGGGCGAGACCATTGATCGATGGAGCCAGCGAACATGAAGACGATGTTATTTGATGTGGCGGTCGTTCGTGTGTCGAAGTCTCACGTCACGACGCTGTCAGTCTGACCATTCGATGGCTGAACTCAGTACCGGCGGTGTAGCTGGTGAGCTGGATTTGCAGCGAAGCCATTATTGCTGCTCTCGATCTTCGTTCCTGACCGTCGCTCGGGGACGGAAATGCCCCCGTCGATCCCGGGCCGAAAAGTTCGAATCCCCAGCTAGCTCGAAATGGTTACGGCTCAGAATTCCGAAGAATATCGCTTCGAGTCGATTGCTCTTAATGTTTGCGCAGAGTCTTCGGTGGAGAGCTTCGAGTGAGCTCGGTTCTCCGAAAATATCGGGACCTGTCTATATGGATTCTGGATCCGCTGAATTCGAGCTGCTCGTTCCTAATGACGAGAACGATGAGCGGAGAACAATGGCGACGATTAATGTCTCGGGTCATAGGGTAGCCGGATCGGTGGAGAGCACGGAAAGATTCAGTTGGATCGGACGCTCACGCTTCGAACAGACGCTCCTCTTTAGGTGAACTTGGAGCGCAAACTTCTGTGCGGGACACGATCCGAGTAGTGCTTAAAGCTTAGAGGAGGAAGGTCTCCGATTGTTTCGAGTTTTCTCCGATCGGAGATCCTACGCTTGGGACGGCTCGTCGGTTTACGACTCTGAAATATGCTGGGTACACGAGGCCGATTGGACACAAAGAGAGAAAAACCTGTTTTCAATATCTCGAGCTTGCTGATCTCGAGTGCGTGGCCATCATTAGGTCTCTTTTTCCTATCAGGATCCACGAGCGGTTTGCATCGAAATAGCTCCTTCTTCAAAGGGAATAATCTCGTCGCCTTTGAGCAAGCCGCTTGATGTACGCAAAACCGCTAGCGGTATTCCGCTCTCGGACCGGGAATGTACCGTCGCGAGTTGCTTCCGCAGACACGTCATTTCTTGTGCCGAGAGCGTTTGGGCTGCCCGGCTTCATGGGCTCGGACTTCGGGGCGCTCGGTCGTATCTAAATCGTTGAGTCCGTCTCGGAACGGCGCTCGGTCGGGCCGAGACTGCGGACGAGGGCGAGCATCGGGATCGTTCGTTTGAATGACGAGCTTCGTGAACGAGTCACAGGCTCAAGGGACTGCCGCGATCTTGGGTGAAAATAACTTCGCGGTGGTTCGCTCCATTAATACGGCACGAGTGGTTCCAGTGAGACGGAATATGTGGCTTCACAAATTAGATGCAGCGAACGGAAGCTCACCGAACAACACAGAAAGCATTCCCGATATAACGGCCTTAAGCGGCGGCGACGACGACGGCGGCGGCGTCAGCGTCTACGTCACCAAGAGCAGCGTCGACGGCAGCACCAGTAGTAGAGCGAACCATCGAACAGCTGACGGTACATTCCTTAATGATTGTCGTCGGCCATGGGGATGCGTTCGAAACCGTGAGGTGCTCGGATTCTGCGGTCGCGAGAATCGAAATTTGAATTGCGACACCCATTGATTTGGGTCGAGTGCCGATTGCGGTTCCTTCTGAAAATATTTTTCTGTACGGAGCAGAAACCTCAGCTTCGGAAGCGGAGATTGATTCCTGAATTAACTCGGTGGGTCTTCCCCGATTCCTAGCATGATTTTCTAGTTTACTCGTCAAGTTCAGACTTCATTCGACCTCACTGTCTCCACGGAAGCAACGAGATGAATGGAAGTGCAGTTCCTGTATTCATCTACCTTGACGACCTTCACGACGAAGGTCGGATCCGTGTTTTTAGGCTTCAAACCTCACTCGGTGTCCCTGTCGCTGGAGCATCCGATTGCTTGATAGGGTGTTTCCGTGATCGATGGCGCATCCCTGATCGGATAGTTCGCGCTCGGAAACCCGATCGACTCTGTAGATTTGCGACCTCTACCAAAGTTTCTATCGATCACCACCGTAAATTCTGTTTTTCTATTCGGATCGATTTCTGCTTCGAGGATTTTTTTCGTTCTTCAAAACACAAAGTATATCGAGCGGAACAACGATCACAAGAACTTCCCTGAAGGCTCTCCCGCCCTCAGAGTCTGATTACTCATATCGTTTTCAAATGAGCTCCGCAGTTCGTGTGATGCGTCGAGCGATGAACTGGAGATCATCGCTTTGTCACGGAATTTCTGATTCCGTCACCGTGAATCTGTGGTTGCGTGCTGCACATTACATCAGCACAGCTCAGTGACCGGCTTTTTGGGCGTTACGCAATCTACCTAGGCTTGAAAATTCGGTAGATCCCGCGCTTCGGAACGGCAAGCGGCATCGGACAGACTGTCCGTCTTCTGAGCTGTATTCTCAGCGCAATTGTGTTCTCCGAATTGTCGAGACGTCAACGGGATTCGGATTGGACAGTGAACAAACCGAGTTTACCGTCTGCGTATCGATCGATCCGCCAGTGGAGTCCATTCGCTCGGATCTGTGTTGCAAGCGTGAAGAATATCCCATTATCTCGTCTATTGGCTGCTTATCATTTTCGGTTTTTCGGAGAACTTCAGCCGCGCGCCAAGTCGATGCCGCGGTTGCCATCACCGACGATCTGGCTTGTGGTGGAGCCGAAACACCGTTGGTCGCCTTGCTTGCCTAGTTTCTCCGTCCGCTTGCCTGCCCGCTTGGCTGATTCGTTCACTCACTGCAGCTACTTGCATTGCATAACCCATGGCCAGGCGCCGGAATAGCGTTCAAACGATTTTCGCGGAAGTCGCTTGAGCTGCCGCTGCTGCCGCCGCGGCGGAGGCAATGGCAGCGCGCGTTCACTCATTCACTCGCCGGACCGCCATCTTGGATCGCACTCGCTGACAAGTCGATCGATCGTCGACGGACTGCGAATCCAACATTTAATTCGCTCCATATCCCTGCTGTTCGGATCATCCGACGGTTCATAGGGTACCCTAAGCTTGAGCTGCCCTCGAACGATAAGCTCACGGCCCCCGCGTTCCGTCGGAGTGTGATTCGAGGAATCCGATCGGTTATGGGGTCCATTGGGTTCCGGATAGCGATCGCCTGGAACGTCCCAGCGATCATTCGGTTCTGATAAATTGCGCGCACTTCACAATGTAGTAACATAATAACCTCGGTCAAATTCGGGGCGCTTCCATTTCTTCGGCAGTAGCGGCGGTAGCTTCAATCGGTTCGGAAACAAAAGCTTTCTCAGGAGATATATCTATTTTCGGAATTGGAGGCATTGCTCAACTCTGTTCTAGCTTGGGCAGCAGGAGCGGCATCGCTGGTGCCGTCAGTCAGAACAGCGGCAGTTTAAGGGCTTCGCTGGCGCTTCGATCGCGGACAAGCTTCGAGATTGCCTGGAAAATCCGCAATGACTCATGAAGACGATGTCAAATTGGAGAGACGAAATTACCGTTCCCTTCCGTAAACGAATGAATGCAAACCATTTATCCGTCTTTATCTATCTGATGGAGTTTTCAGGATAAAGATTTCTGGAGCATATCTTTTTTTGTTGCTGGAAAACAACCGCTGAGATGTCATGACAGCCATCCAAGTCGGTTACCATCGTGTCTTCAAGCGCGTCCGCATACGTCGGACTTCTCTTTGAACAATCATCTCTAATATTCGGTGGGGTTTTTCCTCCTGTCCCATTCCTGCTGGAAGATTTCTCTCTATGCCGATGTTTCGGAATAGACTATCGCGACTCCCCTTCGCTTGATTCTCCTGGGCGGTCGGGCATGGGATTTTTGACTCGGGCTCCTTTCATTTTTTTGACGTGACGCTACACGGGAATGTATTGGAATACTGCTCGTTCGATGAATCCGGGTGGCTTCTGGGCGTTGATGATACTGATGATAAGTCTGATCCACGTGAGGTGGTCATGGAATAGAGCGCACCGAGGGCACGCGGCACAACACCTGTACCCCGGAAATCGCGTAATCGGGCTGCAACCATTTGACCTATGTATGTAGGCAGTAGCCACTCGAGACCGACTAGGTACTACCCACACGCTGGAGGGATATGCTTATGGGAGACCGCTTTCCCTGAGCATCAGTTGTATCTGGTTAATCCCAGCACCCATTTAAAATCGATGCTGCGATCGTCATCGTCATATTCTGCCGTGGTTTTCTCATATCCGCGAAATCTTCGGATAGGAAGTCATGCGAACGAAGCGAGCAGCCGAGGAAGGAACCAACCAACCAGAAGACTTCACATGGTCTTTACACGCTGCTTCTGACGTGCAAATTACTCTGAAAGTGGACATCTGACCTTGAGCCATTATCTGCCGCCCGGTCGTCTCCGCACTTAAAGTTTCTCGTATACCTCTGCTGCATTCGAAGCACCTGAAGTTGCGGTTTCGGAGAGTTCCCTTTCTCAACCCAGGAACCCATCTCGAGCATCACAGCTGAATCCGTCGATCCCATTTTGGGCAAAAAAAAATCCTGGAGAGCTTTCCCGTAGGTAACTTTTTTTCTACCCTCTCAAGGATGATCTCTAACGTTTTTCTCTTTTTCTTCCTCAGAATACGACTGTCCGGACAGCAAGCATTACCTTCGATGGGAACACTGGGGTGAGTATTTTCCTGTACCAGCTGGTTCTCGTTTAATATTTCTTCGGTAACACTCGCGTTCGTTCCGCTTACTCGGTACCCCGATCGGGCTCATGAATGTAGACCGTCTGCAATTTCGTTATTCGCCGCTTATTGGTGGAGTTAGCGGACTGCAAAGGATTTTCCGACGAATGATTGACCGCCGCGCCGAATGAATGGCACTGTCAATGGCAGCGTACCTCGCGACTGGTGGTGTGAGCACCAGGAACTGAAGACTGCGGCGCTGCTTGATGTCTTTCCGGTCTTGAAAACAAATTAGACGAGCCGTGCAATTAAGAAATCTTCCTCGATCTTCTGTGACATGGAACCCGTTATCGAAGTATTAGGATTTTCTACTCTTACTTGCATGCCACCCGTTCAGGAACGACGCAACGACCGATTAGGAGTCGTCTGAACAGGCATTCGAATCGGTGGAACGCCGGCGCCGGGTCTGTTCGCCGATCTTCTCAGGTCGCGATTGACAAAAAATCAGCGGACGCTTCACTCGGGATCCGAAAGCCGTGGATTTCATCGCGTTCGATGACGATAAGGTTTCGTGAAAAATTCCGTCTTTTCTGACTTAAGCGCTCCCGTGCAATGCGGATTGGGCTCTGACTCTCTACGGGTGGGTCTTGCGGGAGCGGTAGAAGTGCAGCTGGTTGGGCAACCCCGGCTCGTTGGTTCTTTGGTTCGTCGACTGGTTGACTAGCAGGCAAGCGAACGAACGGGCGAGCGGCCGAATGACTGACTGACTGGTTGTTTCGACGATGATTTTGTTCGATTCGGTTTTCGCAAGCGTTCGCTCCGACCATTTCTCGGCCAAAAATGCACCGTGCTGTGATGCTCATGACGAAATATTACTTCAACAACTTCGGACGCCGTATGAGTCTACTTTCAACTCGCGGATGACAATGGACGCCGCCGAATCAGAACGAAAACCATTCAGAAAAACAGGATTCATTAATGAATCCGTTTCGACCGGCGCGGCCGCGAAACTTGGGTGCTTGCGTTCGTACGTGAATCGCTCGACAGAAACATCTAGGATGGTTTCGATTGCTTATCCTCAATCCTGAGACCGATCGTTTTATCTGGCAACTCCTGCCTCGCGAACATGTCAACAGCAGATCTTTTCGCAAGGAGCATAACCGGTATTATCTACGCTTGTCGGTGACTGCTTCGTCGGCGGCTCTCCCGGTCGTTCGCTCGGTGGTGGTGGCGGCGGCGGCTTGCTGTGTGGCTGAGCCGGTGACACTGAACCGGCTGAAAGGAAGTTATCTACCGTGCCCCAAAGATAACTGAGAGTGGCTCCCGTAGCTTTTCTTCAGAGCGCGGCGAATTTTTGCTCATGGTTCGCAAATTCATCTGACCTCCCGCAAGGTTGATAAGAGCTTACGCACACACGGGAAGGAAAACGCGGGTGACATATGTACCTACGTCAAATTTGATCCTTATCTATAAATTGCTCATTATTTGATGGATTCCATCCGGTTATATCATCTACGGCCAGCCCCGACAGCGCGAGAATGATCGCGACTCACTCCAAGGAGAGAGCGAGTGTGATTTTCAAGAGTCGGTCGATTTACGACGGAGCGAGTATCAACGCGATTTCGAGAAGCATAACGGCCGATGCCTCTCCCGAAAATTCGACGAGAATCGATTGGGAAATTCTGTTCGCGCGTTGCCAAATTCAAATTGCCGGAGGAGAAGATGGAGAGTAGAATGTTGGCCCTCGGCGCTTCATGAGCGAGCAGTCGCGGCGGCGGGAGGTCAGTCAGACCGGCAAGTAGGCAGTTAGACTCATTCGGTCTTCGTTCACTTGTCCGTCCCAATCGCTCAAGCCCAAACTAGACGAGTCATTGATATATGATGAGAACCTTCTGCGCAGGCGCTCTGACGGCCGCGTGTCGATCGGGTTGAGGTCGGAACCGAGTCGGTCTCGAGTTTCCTGCTCATGAACTCTGAGTGAGTTCGCCGCCCGCCGAGATTGGCGTCTTCGCATCGGTGGCGTCTCCTAGCCGTGAATGACGTCGAGCTTCGGGGTGCTTTCCCTATAGGAAAAGAAGCAGCGGATCCGAGCCCCGAGCGTGATTGCCGTCGACCTTGAACTTGCGAGTGCGTCTGGCCGGGACTCATGGCCTATCGGAAATTCGCGACTGCTGTTTTCATCGAAAAAGAAGTTAACATTCGATGATTGTGGTAGATGTCATCACGCTACCTCCAGATGCAAACGCGGCAAATCAGCCAGCCAGTCAGTCGGCAAGCGGGCGAGCAAGCGAGCGAACGTCCGTTGTAGATGTAGAAGGGCCTTGACATCTCTTTAGACGGCTTCATAGCTAAAACTGGGTTAGACTGAGCGCCGGTGGAGAGGGAGTTGGTCGTCGCGTGGATCGCTCGGGGATCCGTAGCTATCGTTTTGTTAAATTTAATCGGAGAAGAAGAGGGAAAATATTTTTTTTAAAGTAGGCGACAGCCGCATTGGCACCCGGACGGACGGACTGAGCCACTGTATATCTTCGCGATTTCGTTTGGAAGTGCAAGGAGGCAATCTGATCATCGCCGCCGAGTGCTACCGCTCGCGATAAGCGTCGACACCACGAATTGCGATAATTCTCGATTCCCGTGTCGACTTTTCGGTCGAGGTCTCCACTCTTTCAGGACATTCGTCAAAACGCTGATTATTATGAACATGTCGGCATGAATGTCAGAGGAATTCCAGTGAATTTTCTGCCGGCTTCCACTGAGACGGAGCAGGAAATCGACCGTGGCGCAGCTGAGCAAGCCGAAGCGTCTGAAACAACATCGGAGGCGACATTGAAAAAGAATGCCTCCTTGAAATCCATGAGCAGCTAGAATCCATCATGTTCACGAGTCGTTTCTCCAACGATTCCGAGGAGTGTTTTTTCCTCAAGAGTTTCTGTGCGCCTCCTCAGGCCGAGCTTCGATTGAATCATATCGGTCATATTGTATCGTTCGTCGGAGCTTGGGGTCGGTCCCGATGATAACAAGCACATTATCCTGGCATTCACCAGGAGTCTCCCCGATTATTGGCATCAATCTCGAATTTCTCCCCGATCGTTGAGGAGGGCACTGGTGATATAATCGGAAAATTCTTGGAACCACAGGATGTCCGTGGTGCGTTTGGCACAACCGTCGATCGAGGGGCTTGGAGCGGTCGAGGGCGCGGTTTCAGTCCACGACGGTTCGGCAACGAGTGGGGATACGGGCGCAACGCTTCCCATTGCGTCGCGGCACAGATGAATTCCTACCCATCGACCAAACAGCTTAGCTGCTCCTTTCGGTGGCTGACTAACTGATAGAGCGACGCACTGACGACGGAACAAACCGACGGAAAATTAACGAAGTGCCAGTCATACAGTCAGTCAGTCAGTCAGTCCGGCCGCCCGGAAGAACCGATGTCGTTGTTGCTGACGATGGTGATCATGGCGGCGGCGGCGTTCGACCACTATGACGTAACGTCGAGGTCTCTCCGGTGGCGTGCTTCAAGTTCCTTCCTGACTTCGTCCACAACTTCGAATTTCGTTCAGTCATTTTCTGGGCTTCCGAAGCTACTCGAGCCGCTCCGTCCGTGTGTTTCTGACGGCGGGGAATTTCCAGCAAATGGAACAACGTCGCTGGAAACGACGAGCGGGCCATGACTTCGCGGATGTAGCGGCGAATTTTTCACTCGCTCCGCGAGTGGATGTTGTATTCCAAGAGCGGAAGGGCGATCAAGGGGAGCAGATTGGCCGAGTCTTCGAGGTTTGCCAACGGAGGGACCGCCAAAAAAGCTCGACTTCTATGGAATTCCTCAAAATCGGCGCCCCAATTCAGAGCCCCGAGCGCAACCTGGAGACGAGGCCAATGCGGCCTTTGCGCGATTCGTTCGAATCTTCCGCAAGCTCGTCGAGTACCTGAAAATCTATGGTGTCCAGACCACTGCTTTATGGGGTTGGGGCTCGTACAAAATTCACCCATATGGATAATTTTCTTCAGTTGGCTGCTCTCGTCGAATTTTCCTGCTCGAGAAAGCCTTCACTGCGGGTCACGCAGGTTTTGGAGCAACTTCCAGGGCGGTGACAATCGGGTATTCGGAACAAGTCTTCTCCGATTGCGGCATGGATCGATCTCGGGCTCGGATTCGATCAGAGCCCACGAGATTTCGATGGGACTTAGTGAAGCTCTCGCCGAAGACGGAAGGTGGTCGGTCGACATAACTTTGGTAGAAGTAGTAAAAGCGGCTACACAAATAGATGCGATGGTGGTTGCTTCTAGCAGGGCGGTGGGTTCGAGTAAAAGTGACTCTAGTTCTGCGCCAGAGACGTGGTAAAATTTCTGCAAGCTGAATAAAGGCGGTTACTGACGGTTCGATGGGTCTAACCGACTGACTCTTACGGACGCTTCGCGAATTTCTTTTCCCTTCGAGCGTTAAGCTCTTGAGAATCGCGAACGGTTCCTGGAAGACACACCGTTGTCGGCTCACATTTCGTTTGCACCCTTCGAGCCGGCAGCGCTGTTTGTTGAGCGAAAGGGAGGGGTGGAATTCGGTGTCCTAAAATTCCATCCGGACTATTAACAGCGGATATGAACGACGCGAATCGCTCTGGCTTCCCCAGGGGGCCGCCAGAACCTCTCGGGCACCAGGGGAGTTTCGACTTCGGAGGAAGGTGTTGAGAGGAATAATTTTTTCGTGCTAATTCTATTATTTGTTCGTTTGTTTTCCTCGAGTCGTTTTTCGCTGGGCTGTTGTTAATTGTTTGTTTGTTCGTTGGCTGACATTGGTTTTCTTTTCCGCAGACGATACACATCCCTAACCTACGGCAGGACTCGACCCGGAGCTTCGGATTCAACTGTTCTTCGCTTGACAAAGATGCGTCCCTGCAGCAAGGCTCGTTCGATTGCATCAGACAGGCTGGAAGTCGTCAGACCGAGCTCGATAACCTCGGAGCGCTTCAGTACAAAATGCAGATATGTGCCAACGAGGAATCCTACGAAATCACTCGAGCGCGAATGGCAACAGCCGAACAGGAAAGCAAGAAGAACTGTGCCAAGGTGATAAAGATCACCGGTAGCGATAAGTCTGCAGTCGGACGTAAAGTGAAGCTAAAGAGACCGGCAAGCTCCCTGCCGTCCTCGAACCCCGCTCCCAGCTCGCCTCCGTTCGCTCCCAGCAGAAGTTCAACAGTCTCCAGGGGCAATGAGCGGGTGGAGCCACCCGTCAGACAGGAGCGACTCGACGATCGCGTCCACGCAAGTTCGATGCCAACTCTTCCTCTTGCGAACAACGTGAAGAACTCGAGTCCCGCTCAGGGCATTAAAGCTCGTTCCAGCAGCGACATCATGAAGAGGTAAGTTCCCCAACCTGGGCTCCGGGTACTCAGATGAATGTTTCCCATCTCACTCGCGACTCGCGATATCGAAGCAAAGTGTTGTCGATGAACGATCGATCGATAGGGTAATCACCGGGATTTCCTCCCTCCTTTCCAGAACCTATCGGGACCGACTGATCCATATGCTGGCTATTCGACCGCACAAGAAACCCGAAATCCTTGCTCGCATGAACAAGGAAGGCGTCAAAGACTCAGAGAAGAAGGGCACGTCAGCTCTGCTGTCACATAATACCACGCTCAAGGACAATACGTACCACTTGAATCGATCTGGCTGGCAAGACGTTCATGAGGACGAATGGCCTTTCTACACTACCGATGAGAGATATCTTGTCAAAAAGTAAGTTATTCTTTGACATAGCCCAAGCCGCGATGCCGCCATGGCCTGGATTCTTCATTCAGGCTAATTTCATGACTTCATGTTCGTCCTTTTCCCCCTCAGGAACCGTGCCAATCTGGACCGCGAGGAGCCGAAACACCACACGACAGCGTTACGAGTTTCTCCCGCGCTATCAGGACCCCTCACTCCGTCGAACCCGTCGTCGGTCGTGTCGTCTGATTCCGGAGTTCACTCGAATAACTCGCCTTCAAGTCATTCCGAAGATGCGACCACGCCCAATAACCGAGATCAGAACCTGAAGAGGACGTCACCCCCAGAATCATCTTTCGAAGCTCAGCCAGAGTCGAAACGACCACGAGTTTCCTTGTACAGTGCCTGTCAGAAGAAGTCTCCCTCGCCGATCGCTCCAGCTCGGAGTGCAACTTGGCAGACGATGGGTTCGACAGGATCGAGTTTTTGCCAGTCAAGTCCGGAGTTGTGCGGTTCTCCCAGCTCCCAGGTAAGCTCAAGACCCTGGAGCCGATTGTTAGCCCTTACGCTAATTATTATTGCAGATGCTGAGCAAAGCCCATCCCTAATTATTTCTTCTCACCTTTGCAGGACTGCAAGTCGACCGGGAGCTCACCGAGTAGCGACGTTCCCGAGTACCTCGGGCGGTACGTTGAGATCACCAGCACAGAGCAGAGATATCGGTACAAAGACGATTTCAGAGCTGAGTATCCCCGTTACAAAGCGCTTCATGAGGTGCTACAGAGCTACTCGCGGAAGTTCACCAAGCTTGAAATGGATTTGAGGAGTAGCGAATACGGATCGGAACCGTTCAGGGTGAGAATTATTTTTTCGTCGCCTCTTAGCGAACCAACGTGTTCGTGCTGTGGGTCTCCGGCCTCCTCTCGGAGAGCCGTGAGGAGACCGAGCACTCTAAATATCCGAGTCCCATTCCATGGTGGGATGTACTGACGTTGGTTTTTCCTAATTTTTTCAGCGTATCGCGGCCGAAATCATGGATCATTACCGGAAGAGCAAAGACGATCCGGAGTATCAGAATGCGAGGAAGAACTTCAATCTTCTTCATGAGAAACTATCGTACATCAAGCAATTGGTGGCCGAGTACGACCGTCTCCGCTCATAGCGATAAATCCAAAGGACACCGGAATCGCTAACCCATTCGCCCGCACCCCGACCGGACGGCCGCCCGGTCGGTCGACTGCTGAAGAGAAATGATGCCCTCCCTCGACAACCGAGTACGAACTTAGAGTACTTTATTGCCGCGTTCAATCCCTAGACTGAATTTCTGAATGACGACTGACTGAGTTAAGATACCTAGCCCCGGACTTCTCAACTTGAGTATCAAATACCACAACAGCATCATCAAACCAATCAACAAACAGACGAACAGACAGACAAAACATAAAAACAACAGACGATTAGAGTACGGGAGAAAGGACAAACGAACAGGCAGTTTTTTGTCCTCTGTTTTTGAAGCTGGGCCAAGAACGTACGATGGAAGCGTGCGTTATGCCAAAGATACTTGGTCTGTGTCTGCTTGCAGTGTACAGTACGTTATACATACATATACTCCTATCCTTGTCCGAGATGGAGAAACGCGTCTGGGCCCCGTCAGTGCTGCCAGACGCTGTCTTGACGAAGAATTGATCTAAGGACGGATGCCCTCAGAACCAGTTATTTTCCTCAAAGTCTCCCGATCCTTCCCTCTTCCGGACCAGTGGAAAGCGTGTGGAACTTACTCCGCACCCTCTATTCGTGACTTCTCCTGAAGATACCTGCGGAAAAAAGTGAATTTCGAGGAGCACGTGCAAGAAATGAGGAATTTCGAAAGTTGGCGGATCGTCGAGGAGCTCTGCTGTTCAGCGGAGCGTTCGAAACCTCGAACGAGAATCGACTCATGAGCCTCTCCTCGAGCGAGAGCGGACTTGGTGACCCAAGCGTGGAAGTCCCACAGGAGATGGCTCCATGGTCGATTGTGACAGGCATCGTCAGTCTGCTACTATTTCTTTTACATTATTCATTTCTCTGAAATAATATTTCGAAGAACTCGAGAGCTGGGATCGAAAACGGAAAAATGCCACACAAGCGCAGACAAAAAAATCTCATCCATGTTCATCTTCATCCAAACATCTACTAGTATATCATGTGGAACAACGACGACAATTATTACCATGTACTAACAACAGGCTCCCCTGTCTCCGACGACATTCGCGGAATTATAGAGCGAGGACGATCGATACCATGAGATCATCGTCGTCCCTCGAATCGATAGGAAGAGGAGGGGACGCGTTTCCCGCCCCGAATTTTTCCGGGAGCACTGATGGAGGCTCGCGATCCTCTCTCGAGCGGAATCTCGAGACAGACACCGAATTCGTTTCATCCGGCATTCGACCGCGATACGGGATCTGCTGACGACCCGCTCAAAACCGTCTCTATTTGATCGCTCGAGACAGGATCGCCGTGCTCGTGACCCGGGACCGGGATCAGAAGTCACAGACAGACAAACATGATTGTTTTCCTCTCTCCTTCAAACAACCACATTCCAGTGGTCTTATGTGATACGCTGTCCTGCCTATTCGTCCCATAAAAGGAAAAGGAAGAACACGGGTTGAGACGGGCTGAGAAACGAGTCCGGAGGGGCCAAGAGTGCCGCCCCCGCAGACATTGACCTTTGACCCATTCCGCAGAGCGCAGGGTAGGCCATAGCGTGGAAGACGATGACTCGATTCCTATCCGCATGTTAGACTCGTCGAGCCTATTCTTAGATTGTTGCTTTATTTCTCGGGAAAGAGTCTTTGTTAGTTGCTACAGACGACGCTTGTTGAAGTGTTTTTCACACCTCCCTCCCTTGCTATGCTGCCGCCCGTTTCCTTCCTCTGAACCTAGCTTTCGAATGGACACCTAGTACCAATTGCGAAGAAAAGCGCCCCAATCATTGCTGCCCCGTTCGCTCCCACTAGTTTTCTGCTGAGCGAGCCTGTTCAAAAACAGTCCGCGATGTGGTATTTGTTTCTCACGGAACTTAAAGCAATCCCTAGTACGATCGAATGGACTCGGTGGTCTTCTTGTTCAGAGAGTCGACCGTTCCTCTTCCAAACCGTTACGCAAAAGTCTAGTCGGGGAAGGCTGGGCTGGAAAGCGAGCAGCCGACTTCCCTGCTAGCCGCATGTTCGCATGAGTCATAAGTTTGCTCACTCCAAGTATTACAAATGGGTTGACACGACGAGAGGCAGGACCAGCGCGCGTTGTTCAACTACGTAAGAGAAGAAGCAATGGATAGTTAGCTATAACGTCAATAAATCATCTTCATCATCATGATGCCAGCTGGTGTGCGTCGTACGTTTCAAAAATGGCCTGATTGTGGAAATTGAAAGTCAAGCCAAGTCGGTCAAATGATGGCGACTGCAGACAGCGTGCTACTCCGACGAGAGAAACGAGAGGGAACGTACTCATCGAGTGTTGAAAGCAAAGCTAAAATCCTTCCTCCTGACTAACATTCCGTACATGCGGACGCTGAGCGCAAATCGAACCCCATGAGTGGTACCTGAACCGACGACGATGGCCCGTGTCGAGAATTTTCTCGCCCAACCGTACCTGTTTATTCATACAGAGAGATTGGAGTAGCCATTTGTTCCTCCTATCGAGTACAGAATTTCGTTCATCCTAGCAAGCGCGTATTCATTTCATTGGCAACAGGGACGGATTTGCGCTCCTCGTGCGCGGTGGCGAAAATTTTGAAAGTTCTGCACAGAAGGTCGCTATGAGTGGCCTGTCTGCCTGCGAATCCGAGTTCGAAGCGAAACGAAGAGTTACTTGACCTGAATTGACCGTTCATCGGTCGGGGAGGCGAAAGATCCACATCAGTATGAATTCGCTCACGCAGCCCCGAGTCGTATGACGCACTCGGAACTGTAGTGGAGGATGCCATGAACAAAAGCAGTGAAAACCTCGACAAATATTTATTTTCTATTCCAACTCGATCCAATCACTGGTCCCACACACACTGAATGAATAAACCGTAGAGCGGAGAGAAATACGAACCATCAAAACCTGTGTACATGCTGAAAGAGGCATGCCGTTTCAAACTTCAATAGGCATTATGACCCAACGGGTGTCCGAGCCTCGGCTGCAGCCCACGAAGAGTGCGAGGGAAAGATGGATGCATGCTTCGGATATATCTACATATGTCTTTGTTTCTTACACGATGACCTGAGGAATAAGGTGTTCGAGGGTTGGATCCGACTCGCGACTCGGTCTCACTCTCGCATTCGCGATCTCGTCGACGATAACAACCTCCAGCATGGGTGGTACAGCGAGTCGACGAGCGCAATTGACCCTTTTCGCGAATCAGATGAGCCGAAAAAGGGCGAGGAGAAATATTGACAGATGAATGACTTCGAATTATTCCTGGGAATTTCCCGCCCGATTGGCTTTCCGTTCGCGGTAGGTCTGAACGGAAGTTGTGCGGGACCGATTCCCTGAAAACACCGTACCGTCTGGAACAACGATAAGCATTTCTCTTTCGGTTCTGCGATGCCTTTCACGGACCGGATCCTACCTGAGAAAGAGCTGAGAAGCTTCAGCGGGAGAATTCAAGCGTTCATCCCGTTACACCTACGGAGTCCGTAGATCACGAGTAGTGTTGCATCCTGAGCTCGCGAATCACAGACACACACAGCCATCGAAAAGAGACACAATTGGCGTGCGAATGTACAAAACTTCTGTACAAAAAAAAAAGAAAGATCACAATAACGAAACAGAATGAGCTCTATCCTGACCCAGTACTATCAGATCGATTAATCAGAGTATCGAGATTCAAAAATGATGTACCGAATGCAATTACTTCATGTGAGAAGACGCAAAACAGTACCTTGAAGCCAGAGGAATCAGTCATACTGACTAGCCATCGGTCAATGTGGCAGCAAGCGACTTCAAGCCCTTTCAAGTGAAGTACAATTTTTATGAGAGACCCTCTGTAGACCAACGTCCTAAACGGAACCACCAGACTCACACATGAGAATATCCGTAACATCCGGAGAGCTCAGACTCTTCATATTACGCTGTTTGACCGCAGATCTATTTCACGATCCATGGAATTCTCTGTCAAAGCTCACAGCTATCCCGAATCTTGGCTATTTTCATAAACGAAATTCCCTCCCCCTATCGCCGGAAAAACCTAATTATTTTTCCCCGCCTGATGTGCCCGGGCTGACTAGAGTGGTTCCGGGAGACTCGTGGTCGAGGGGCTTCTGAGCGCGAGATCGAGATCAAGCCCACGTGGTCGCCGCTTGGAAGCACATCGTGCATCTCGCGGCATTGGGTGCTTTACAGAATTCGGCCACGAATCTCGCTTTTCTCTGCCCGCCTCCGAGGTACCCGAGTCCGATGATGAGTCTACCAATCTAGAGCTCGCATCGTTCCGAGACCGTCAGTCCGACCAGTCGAAATTCTCTGATTGAACAAACCGGTGGTATTTTTTGACTTCTTCGACCTGTATCGTTTGGTGCTTCCAACTTCGGAGAGAATGTGTGCTCCCGAATTCGAGACAACATATACATTGTATCACGTTCCGCAGAGGATCAAGTACAGAAACCCATGTCGCTGGCTACACCTTGTTACACCGACTGGTAGGAAGGCAAAGAAAGAGAACAAGGAACTACATCAGTTGCAAAGTACAAATGAAGGCTTGCCACATCTTCCGCTGAGAGCAAAGATTCATCCCAGTGGAACTTGGCTTTAAGAACACTTTGATTAGTATCACGAGTCGAGAATTTAATGGCAGATCGGCACTTTTACCGAGAGGGTCATTCGTGGGAACTATTTTACTGGGTGCTCTGGGAGGCTTTCCCCCCGGGAATTTTCCCTATGGCCGGGGTCTCTCTCCTAGGTATCGGAGAGGGACCTCCACGGCGGACGTGCTCTGCCGCCGCGAACCGATCTTTGTCCCCGATACATGTTGTTGAAAATGAATGGCAGCCACTTCATCAGAAGAAAATGAATCCATAAGCGGTATACCTGACGTGTCACGTAGAAGTCTTTCCTATTTGCTTCGCTCTCCGTAACGCATGATGATGACCTCCCCGACGAGACGATCGTCAAGGTATTGAAATCCCTCTTCTCAACCCTCTCAAGTACCTTTGCCCTAGATGAGCATGATTCGAACTCTCGCATTTAGCCGTCACAGTAGATGCCACGACGTACCTCATTTGTTCGCTTAGGCGACTCCGCTTTCAGCCAAACGCAAACTAGTGGGCGCCCCTTTGCCACTCGCAGCAGCAGCAGCAGAAGCAGCAACGTCAACAGCTGCGGTCGTCGACGAGATCATCGCCTGCCGCAATTGAGATTGTTCAGGTGCTTGATTGTTATCGCTGACTGTCGAACTGCTGGCCGGTGCATGATTATTCCCTTACGAAAATATTCATGATGATTACGATGATGACGATTATGATGAAGACGACGATCAGATCAATTGAGATGATGTTGTCTTCGAAACTCTCAAGTTTTGTTTAGTGCACCTCTCAGCCGTTGCGTGGGGACCCATTGTTGACGATGAGTTGATAGCGTTCAAGGTTGTGTATATAGAAGATATCAATGCCTAGTCTCCGCCCGTTCCTCGTCGGATGGTGGGGAACATTTGTTCGATTTTAGCGGATCGTGCATTGATGGCCTCCGGGAACGAGAGGTTCCATGGCGAGCCGAACGGGAGACGGGGTAGTGTGAAGCTCTATCCGGCTAACACCTCGATGTAAATAACTCTACATACATGTAGTGAAATGTGAATGCAAGTATGAAAAGGGAAATTTCGCAAGTCCACAAAAAAAGTTTAAAATGTACAAATGCAGCTGATGATCGGTCTCCGGCCCGCGGTGGCGTTCAATGAACTCATGAGATTAGAGGCTCTTTAGATAAAGGTTCGTGGCCTTCCACGCTAGTCGCTTTCCGAGTCTCCGTCGCGTCGTCAATCGATCGATCGATCGATCGACGCTAAGAGACTCACTAATATTCAGCTCTTGTTTTTCTGGTTCTTTTGCATAACACGCAGCAGGAACGAGAGTGTCCTCGTTCTCCCTGACGAGGAGATGGCCCCGACTAACCTCAAACAGAGTCCAACGTTGTCCAGAGCCACGCGGCAACCGATCACCAACCTCAAAAACCCGCTAAACCTCTTGATGAAAACGACTATTAACTTCGTATGAAAACGAGTAAAAAACCGACAAGACTTGTATGACTTAACTTCAAATGTCCGTTGAATTCGTCAGGCGTCCGGCACCGCTTTCTACGGTTAGACTTGTTTAGATTTGCAGATGATGATGATAATGATGATGACGACGATGACGAAAAGCGCTCGTCGTCTGAAAGAGATCCGCCTAAGTTGGTATTTCGTAAAATCTAGTCAGTTGTTTACGTCAGACCCGAACGCTCGTTCGCCAGGCGGCCCGTCCGCCCGTCCGCTGTCCTCAAAGCAAGCATAGTTAGGAGCAGATTCTCTCGAAGTCTCACGCTAGTGACAGGTCCTCGATCAGATATGTGAAACGTCATTCCCCGAACGAGAACGACAAGAACAACAACCACGATAAGGATGACAACGAGCAACGGAACACACACGATAGAAATCAGCAACAGTATACACACAGCTCCCTAAATACAAGGCCCGACATGTAACAGAGCCACAATCTGGATAATCTGTTCAAAGAATGTATTCCAACAACACCTCTCAAATCTTACTGAACATAATGTACAAGGTATAAGACGGAGAATGACTCTCCGCTGAGGAGCTCCTCGAGACAATGTTGAAAGCGGTTGGTACGGTACGCAGTTATGAACTATACGAGACATGGAATGTTGTAACAACTGTGTAATCTTTGTAATTAAGGTTGACCAGCTGACCAAATGAAGGATCGCTGACGACGATAATAATAATAATAAATATAGTTACGATTATGAGTTTCGGAAAAAAAACAAGTTGCAACGAGCCTAGTGCAAAAATGAGTGAATCGTCGAGGGCCGTGGATAGAGAAGAAGGCTTCCGGGAAAGCCGCTAGTTTACCATGTTAGAGAAAAGGCATCATGTCAGTAGTTGAACCACCATCTCCCCTCATCGAGCATAATATTAATTATAATCAAGTCTACCAAGAGAAATATCATCATCGAAAAACAACAAGCATATGAAACGAATGTTCTCACATGCATCATTCCATCGAAACTCATGATGCCATGCTCACATCAATCTACACCAGCGAAGAGTGCCAGGGAAGTCGCGTCTACCTTCGTAGCGCGATCGTGAGCGTGATCATGTAGACGCATTTGCGAACATACTCACATCAAACATACAAACATGCATCCACGAAAAAGCTTGAAAAGAAAAAACAAATAAGCGCTTGTTTGGCTATGACTTCAAGTGTTGCTCGTGCGACAAGTCTCACGGGTGATTATCATAGGACCGACCGACAGACCGACCGACCGACTGACTGACCCGAACGAGCTACCACTCCCAACCCCAAGGATTCTCTCTACATTGACTCGTCCCATCTATCGGAATATGACAATGTTGCTGGACAAGCATCATGAATCGCTCGTTTCGACGACGCATCGTCGGAGTCGCTCCGACACGAAGTACACAGACAGATGCCCTTGCCCGGAAGTTGAATTCCATTCAGGAAGACGCTCCCCCGATGCTCTCTGGAATCGAGTCGAATCATGCTGCTTGTTCGGTGATGATGATCATTCACCATTTGGAAGGCATTGCTTACTTACGAATGCCAATCGACCGAATGGAGGATTTCGAGGATACGAGATTATGAAATACATCGCTGATTGATACCCCATGAAACATATGATGACGATGATGATGACCATGATTATGAGGTGTCGCATGATGATGACGATGATGAGAATGAGAAGGCGACCCGATGACACCGATGACAATTAATATTAATACCGAGGATGATGAGATATTTTATTCTTTTGGTCAGATCATATCCAAAAGACAGTTTCAGTGTGCTTCAAATAAATCTACTTTTCCAGCATCGCAAAAGCCAACGAAAAGGACTCTTCATTCATCCTGTACAGTCGTTGCGTATTCTGCTCATTAAGGGAATCGATGTGCTCAAAGCTCAGTCATCATTAGAGACACACCGTTCTCTGTATCGGAGGGAACTCGGGGGAAACCGCCTTTGAGCCTGTTCTTGGCGTTCATCGATGATCATGAATTTGATGATCATGTTTCACGATGCCGTGGAGTCGTCTTGGCGTTGGACTATATCGTTGAAGTCGATAACTTGCTTCACGCCTTGCTCGTCTTCTAAAAGCAATTGCTGTCCGGGTTCGAGCCGAACGACCGACTGAGACCCATCCGGATGCGTCAGCTCATAGAACACGCTACCGCCAGTGGCAGGAGGAGCCGCGACACTCTCAACACCAACGACCTGTTCGGATCCTGCGAGAAGCGATGTCATTTACCGCTTTTCCCCCGATCGATTTCTTGTTCGGATACTCTTGATCTGGCGTGAGAAAGGGACGCCGAGAATGCACATACCTTGCGTCTGTTCCGGGAAGTTCTGCTGTTTCGAATCGGGGCTCATGGGAGCAGTGCGGCGCATCCTTGAGCCGCCTTCGACCAGCGGTGGCGACTGTAATAACAATGAATTTGAGGGAACGAACTCGGAAGAACTCTCAGAGCGGAACGAGGGGAATTCTCTGCAAAGCAATTTTTTCCTGCTATTCCTCTTGCAGCTCAGTCAGTCGAATGCTCCCACCTGTTCCCTATTAGGCGGTCTACCCTCCACGGGTACTGCTTCGGCAGCCTGCTCCATGGACATGTGATGGGTTTGGGTCAGATGTTTCAGCACTTTCATCCTCGAGACGAATCCCTTATCGCACTGCGGACAGCTGAATCTGAAGTCTCTCGTGTGCTTCATGGTCACGTGACCCTGCGGATCAACCAACGTATCATTAGGGCATGCGGGAAGATTGTACTGAAACATTTCAAGGGAAACCGTTAATCCAGGCCGGAGCCACGAACGGCGCGTACCTTCAACGAGGAAAAATGGGAGAAACTCCGAGGACAAAACGAACACTTGTGCGGCTTCTCATCCAAATGCCTCCGGAGATGCAGAGCTAAATAGTGTTGTCTCGCGAAGATCTTCAAGCAGTAGGGACAGGGATACTGCTCGTCTTCAAAACCCTGATGGAGACAGACTTGATGCGCGACGAGCTGACTTTCGCATTCGTAGGTCTGAGCACATTGGTTGCACACGTATGTCCCTGAGGCGCTCTTGTGAAGTCCCGGTCTCGACGTGGAGGCCGATTCCAAGGCAGACTTCGTGGGGCGGTGGTTCAAGGCCATGTGTCGCGCTAAACCGCGGTACGTTCGATTCGCTGAAGAAGACACGGACATCGAATCGGATCCATCGACCGTAATGAGAGAATAGCCACGAGACAAGATGCATGAATACATATCGGAGCAACTTACGGGTGTCGCATACGCCACAGTGGTATGTATTCACTTTGACGGCATGAATTCCTGAGTGAACGGTGAGCTTCTCTTCAGTCTCGAACATCTTGCTGCACTGCGTACATGGGAATCCCGCTCCTTCGGCGTGCAAGGCTTTATGCAGTTCCGCAGATTGATCGCCTCCCACCAGGGATATCGCTCGGTAGCAGATCAAGCAGACGTACCTGTGCGCGACGGAAGAGCAACATGATCGTCTCTGGGGGAGTCACGTTCTTGCGAGAACGTCGTCTAGCGAGGCAACTCACCAGCAAGGATCGTCTTTGTGCATGGCTCGCACGTGCTCCACTAACTGAGCTGTATTCTCGGCCCCGAAAGCACACGCGGGACACCACAGCGTCCATTCCTTGGAAATGTGCTCTTTGGTGCGGTGGACCTGGAGCGTTTTCTTGCTCCAAGTTTTGAAGCCGCATTGACTACAAACGCATTGGTACTCGTTTCTGATGGACTCCCGCTCGGCGGCAGTCAGCGCTTTCCCGTGAATCTTGTAGAGGTGTAGATTGAGGCTTCTGGAAAATTCGAGATCCCATTGTACACCGTTCAATCATCATCGAATGACTGCCCTTGACGAATCCGCGACTTCGTACTCTGGCGCTCACTTCTCAGAGATGAAATGCTCGGGAGCACCCGTGCAGTAAGCGCATTTCCACTGAGTCTTGGTGCCATGAGCTTCTCTCTGGTGGCGATTTCGCTGAGAAACGGAGGCGAAAGGAAGCGAACAGTCCGGACACTTCTTCGGGTTCAACAGGCGGCACTCGGCTAGGTGCTGTCTGAAGAGTCGCGCGTCCAGGATCCTACGGGAACATTCCGGGCACTGCTGTGGCTCGACGCTGCCACCCGTGGACGCATCCACGGGAAGGTTTTCGTCAGAGTCCGACGACAGTTCCTCAGACGAAGTTCCTGCTTCCTGTGATGACGCTTGAATTAGTACGGACATGCTGTCTCCTGGGAGAAATTTCGATTGGGGAGAATTGAGTTCAGAGAAGACCGAGGCCGCTCTACGCGACATCGGTCTAGAACAGAGACGAAGAGCCTACAGTATCTGTTCCGCTGCATAGATGTGTTGTCCCAAGATTCTGCTCCGACGAGCGAATATTTTCCTTGTCCAGCCGCAGCTTCTTGCACTCGATTTGGCGCTCAAGCAAGCCTCTCTCATAGAGTGATCTCGTGTAGTGGAATTCGAACTTCGAGACTTCCTCCGACGTCATTCTCGCCAGCTTCGTGGGGACAATTGTGCGTTCTCGGAACGCTTCGAATTCCTACAACATTTATACGAACAGATTATTAGGGAGACCAGAGGAGGAGAGGGAGCAGAAGTGGACTGATGCCGATGTACGTCTCTAGAAGATGATGAGCCCTAATCGAAGATCATCCTAGCGAACTACAATGTTCGAGCCGTTTGAGAACCGCGAGGTTCTACTGGTTTGAAACGAATTCCCTCTTGTATCCGAACGGAACGCCTCCTGTAGCCTCCTCGCCGACGCCGCCTCCGATGAGAGAAAACACAGGCTCATGGGAGACTCGGGAGTCATGTAGTTTATTCCATATATACAATTGTGTACATCGTCATGCGTCATCAGTGAAACTACTGCATCCCACTATGAGGTTCTTGAATTTCGTCCTGTAGGCCATAGTCCATCATGTTCATCATAGCATTAACGTCTTGTGGCCGATCGAACTGGCCCGATTGGGAAACGGCTTCGTGATCCTGTCGCTCCCGGGCAGCTCTCGCGCCATAACCATTCGTCGCTGCGTCTCCATCTCGCCGCTCGTGGCTCGTGGAATCGACTCCGCCATCATCTGGCAGCTGATCTCCGACCGTAGAGTCGACATCTGCAGAGCTCGTTGGTTCCTCTAGCTGAGAATGTCGCATCGGGGCTGCGGCCACAGCCTCTGAGCTGCTGCCGATCTCCCCGGGAACCTCTTGATCCATCATCAATTGGTTCATCGCCGAGGGAACTTCACGTTCGTTGCCCGGTTCTCTGTAGGGTTCCGGCACTTCCATGGAATCGTCCGAGTCGTCCCGTGGTGGCGCTAATTCTTCGACGGGTTGCTCCACGGGTCGCGGAGAATGCTCCTCGTCGTCGAGAATCTCTATCGGTTCCTCCATCGGAGCTTCGGGCATGAGAATCTGCCGAGGATTCTCTCGTTCTGGCGGTAACGCTTCGATTACGGGCTCTGCTATGGGTTGCAATTGCTGCGGTGGTAATTGTGGTTCTGATGGCTTAGGTTGGACACGTCTGAGGGACGAAAGTCCAGAGGGACCCGCATGGATCGCTTCGAGAGCTCTCTCGACAGCATCGATTTCGCGGGAAGGCGGCGTCGGCGCTCGGGCTACAGGCTCGTCCTAGAATCAGAAATCTAATCAGAAACAACGAGAGTTCGAAAACTTCTGGTCGGTGCGAGAAGGAAGCTTGCTTGGCCATCAAATTAAGGTTTAGCATATTCGCCACACTTGATAGAGATCATGAATTTCAGGAATTCCACCGGAGTGCACCGATTGGCTCCATTTTCGGCGAGGAGGACTCACCTGCTCAAATAAGGCCTCCATGGTGATCTTTTTCAAATCATCATCGCCCGTCTGGTGCTCAGTTTTTCTTATTTCCAAACGGCTTCCCGCTTGAGGTTTGGCTAACTTGAGAAGCATTTGCTGGGCTTGGTCGGTTACGGCGGTGATGAAGCTGTCCACCGCTGCGGCGGGAATCGAAATCTCCACCAAGTTTGGGCGACTCGGCTCCTGGGAAGATCGAGATCAAGCGTTATTCCGAGTGATCCGGTAGCAATTACGACAGTGTCCGCTTCCGACGATATCGGGAAATCCAATGGATTCTCCCCCTTTCAGATCTCACTCGATTCTCTCTCGGATCGTTTTGCTCGGAAAAACGTTCCACGAGAGAGACTCGAGAAGTCGGCTTTCGTGGGTCGTGTTTTACCTGCGTGATGGTCGCCTTCATGGGTTGACTGCCGTCTCTCGGCCGGTGGGTGAGCGTTACAGTTGAAACCTTTTCCTGAGGGGCTCTGTTGGATAAGTGTTGCTGCATGTGCACTGAGATTTCCTTGATCGATGAGAAGAACTGGCCGCATTCCCCGCATCTGTGTTTTTCGGTCCCATTGCTCGTCGTCGCCCCCGAATTGGGAATCACGAAAGCTCTTTTCCTACTTGATTCGAGCGGCGCGTCAGATGGCCTTTTCGACACGCTTTCCAGTGTCCGTGCTACATGAACTACTTTGGTCAACGCTGAGGATGAAGAGAAGGTCATTTGAGTTTCAATCTTTGAATCGGGGGAAAAACCAAGATCTTCCCCGCTCCTTCCGGTCGTCGATGAGGCAAACGAACCGCCGGAATTTTCCGTACGGATATGTTGCTCGCTCATCACGCATGCGCACGGCGACTTCACTCTTGCAGTCACACGCACGCCTGGACTCACACACAAACGCCCACGGACGGGAACGTCGTCTCGTAAACATTCGCCAAGGAGGTCCTCGCTCCCAAGGACCGCGGAGCTTCGCACCTTTTCCCCCCAATTCCGAACTTGAATCATATACTCACGGTCTACAACAATTGTGTTTGCTTTAGGTGGTGGGTTCGTGGGTAGATCCCATGTCCCGATGTACAATTCAATATTTTCCCCTGGAATATATATTCTGTTAGTTTCGAGGCCGGACGTTTTTCTAGCCGAGCCTCTTTCCAAGGCTCGGTGTGCCAAGCTAAGCTGACCGAGGCACGCATAAGCAAACACCGCACACCCTAGCCAGACTCGACTAGTTCATTGACTTCTTTCACGAACCGTCAGCGTGAGTGGCATGGTTCTAGTTAGAGCGGCGGAATTTCGTCACACTGCCCGCTTCCCGCAGAGTCCCCATCCGATTCATAGAATACTACTGCGCTCAGCAATCACATCGATGGAGAATGGATAGGACCGCTCGCAAGTCCAAAGAACGTGACCGCAAGACAGCAACAAAAACATAAACAGCAACACGATTCGAGTAGAAATCTCTCACCGGGAGCAATGCCCTGGGGGAACGCCAAGGATGTTACGAACGGTGAGTGGTCGGCGTCTATGCAAACCCTGACCACCATGGTGTCCTCTCTCGGCGATCCTTTCGACCAGTCGAGACACAAAATCAACTGAGTCCTCGATTACATTCACATCCTTCGCATTCCGTCAGATGAAGCCAAACAACGCCGCCGTAGAAACACGACGCACCAAGAGACCTGAATATCGGTCTTGTACGGTTGTACGCTGGTACGCCTTACTTATCGTGCGAGCGTCCGTCAAATTGACGGACGGTACAATCGCAAGAGTGTCAATTATGTGGGGAACCCTCACAAGAGGTACGGGGGGTAAAATTGAACAGAAGCGAGATCTGTTGATGGGAGAAGGGAGGCGATGATAACGATGATCTTTGTTTATAGTCTCTACGCGATCGGGCGGCCTCTTCAGTTGTTTCCAACTTCGCGGTTGCCCGGTCCCTTAGACCACGCTTGACAGACGGTGAATCGAACTTCGGTCACGAAGAATCGAGCTTTGATGGAGCCGGATCGCTGATTTCCCCAATGGATCGATATCGACTCGCCCTACGGAGATCGTGAAAAACACCATTCCCTCGATCCTTCCGAGTACATCGAAGTCTACCGTTCTCCCCCTGGAAACTGCCATTCGCTCTGCCTTAACCCTGTCCGAGGATCAGATATGGCCGGCGGCGAAAATTCCAAAACGCGTTCGAGGACGACGCTCCACGTCCGCGACCAGGCTTTGCTCCGTGCCTCAGTTTTCTGAGCAAAGTCGTTCATTTGGTAGAGCGGCGATAGCTACGACCTCTTCGGCCGTGCGCTCCGTGAACTAACGCCGCGGTTTGACGAATGTCGAGTCGGCGTGTTCCCACCGGGACGCATGACTTCCGACTAGCTGATCAGCTGATCGAGTACATTGGGATTCGATGCTGCAATGGATACGACGTTCTGCATGGGGTCAGAAATTCGCAGAAATGCGGGGAATCCAACGAAGCTCCCGGCGCTCGGCGTTGGAGTTCTCAGAGTTTTCAGGGCTCGCATTCATCGTGTTTCGATATGACAGATGAAGCGAACGACTCTATCCTTAGCAGGCGGGAGATCTCTTGAAGTCGGGATGAGAACATCCGTCGCCCCGGTCGTGCAGCGATCAGAGACATCGATAAACGAACCATTGAGGGGTGAGCGAGGCTCGACGTCCCCCGTGTAAACAAAGGCGACGATTTGATATGATGTCATACAACATCGTTAGACGGAGAGCTCTCATCCGGAGCTGGTATTGCGATCGAACATCACGAGTCAGTTTCTTTGATTTGAGTCCGGTCATTCGACTCGGGAGCGCTGTAATCCCATAGATTCTCATTGCTGACTGTGAAACCGTTCACCCGGTCAGATCCGAAATCTTGATTCTTGCCAACTTTGACATGACAATTCAGATCAGTTTGAGGAGTTCTTTCTGAGTTGAAAGACCCACAAGTTCCGTGAACTGGCGCTTAGAATCGGGGTCGCACACTTGACGGCCGATTTGCCCTCGAATTTCAGGAAGCCCTAAATGGTGGCCAGTGCTCACAGACTGGTTGCAATCGTGGGATCGACCGCTCCGATCCTCGACCCAGCCTTCTACATCCCTTTCTACAGGCATCTGGGTCGGACGGGGACCCGTAAAAACGGAGAGACTGCCGTCCTTCGGGACCTTGAGTTTCGTGCACTGTATGCACCCCAGACCGTGAGTGAGTCAATAAATCCATTGAGTTTATATTTTCCAAGAAAACGTCGCGAGAGCTTATGGTGAAGCTTTCGAGGTTCCGTTCCTGCGAAGAGTGACATTGGTGCTTGCTCGTGAGGGTACGGTGGATATCCCGCACCGCCGAACCGCGTCGCGTCGTTTGAACCTTCCCTGAAACGACCGCGACGTCGGCCCGCTGTCCGATATGCGGGGCTCTCATTGAGGATTCTTTGAGTGACTCCGGCGCCGAATGATTAATACCGATATTGGTACGAATGATTGATGGAAATTTTTACGAACCGCTCTCCAGATGACATCGAACGCAACATTGGACTCCCTCTGATCGACGAACCCTCGCGGATTTCGAGGGGCTTCCGATCCAGAGCCAACAGAGAGGGGATTTGGATGAGGGGCCTTCCCGGCGCGATATAAAAGCCTGGAACGTGAACTCAGGATCATTCGTTCGGTCTCCAGTCGGCACTGGAAGCACACATCCTCCCAAGCCGTGAGTACTCTTCCTTTGAATCTTACTCGAACATCTCCCGTGATTCTTGCTGGGATTGTCATTCTGTGATCTCGGTCTGAAACTCGGAATGTCGCATTCGGAAGACGACAACGAGGAAAACGACTCCTCTTCGATTCCACGCAAGTTTCAATCGACCCCCAATCGTTTTGAGTCTTGTGAGGATGGGGGAACGTCCATTTCACGAAGAGTAGCCTTGTTTCCCCCCATAGGAACTCGATCTGGAAAGTGGATCCTCTCCCGATCACACCTCGTGACAGTGAACGATAGCGCATTTTTCTCTCCCTGCAGGAATAATGAAGACAATTGCATTCCTGAGTCTGTGGGGAGCTGCGTCGGCGATAATCTATCAATCGCCGATCATCGTCATCAACCAGCGCCTGAATTATGACCGCGGAAACATACCATCAGAAGTGGTGCGACCATCGAGGATTCCAGAGTTCCTTAGAGTACATGCCGACCGCGTTCGCAATGCGCAGATTTATGAGAATATGGATGTCCGGAGGAACGGGCTGCTGGAAAGCGCCAGCCAACCAGTCTCCCAGCCAAACTTCCTCAGCAACTTATTCGGCGGATCGAACCAACACCCATCGAACAGCGCAAAATAGAACAACTACTGCTGGTTGTAGATTATATTGACCTTAATAAATACTAACCTGAAACCGATCCGTCGAAGTATGAATTTTTTCGAGATCGATGATATTCGGTCTTTCGACGAGGCAAATTCTTCTCTAGGTTCGGGCATAGACAGATCCTGCAGGCTTGGCAACGGGCCTCATTGCACGGTCAGCTGAGCCCTGTCGAAGTAAGAATACTGAAAGCTACCCCCAATAGAGGGCTCACGGACTCAGCTGCGGAATCTCTTTAGGTAGATCAACCTTCGCAGAAGATTTCGGTTCCGATAGGGCGCCCCATTGAATCATCGCGTAAGCAATCTGCCGAACTCCAGAAGCGCAAAATCTTCGGCCCTCCCCAGATGACGCATTGTATGAGGGAACCAGACAGCTCCTTGACGAAAAATCATCCGAGAAATGCTTCCCTCTCGGCTGCGCGGCTCCCACTCGCCCGGCCAGTCGGTTGTATCAACGTAATAGTGATCTGCGTCATGTCTTCCGTATGATCCCGAAGCCATCTCCTCGACACACGAAGATCCACTCATCTACGAAAGGAGTACAGCGGAGGCTTTGTCTCTTCAAGCTCGATCCAATGCTATTCTGGATCGAGGCCTTCCCACGCCACGCGTTGAAACCTGCTAAATGTAATCTAATTTGCTAAATGGGGCAGATGAGCACGGTGCGGTCCACAGGCATGCCATCGATTGAAAATTCCAGTCGCAGACATAAGCCGTACATATTCTCCATATCGTAGTGTACATATTGTCGTTCCCAGTCGAACTCCTTGCGTGAGCCCTTACTGCGCCAGTTGCCCTCAGCCGATGAATGATGGGGCAGCGATTGTCTAGGGATGTGGACGTGAGGATCATTAAACATCTGTAAGGCGGAAGAGTCGTTGTTTCGGGCAGCGATCTTCGATCGAGCAAACGCAAGGTACGTATGCTGCGGGAAGGCGGATTCTCTTATCGGCGACATTGTGGACCCAGCCCGCGAAGTATATGGAGCTGCGTCCGCGCCGTTTCGCGATTCTATCTTATAGGGGGCAGGGGGATATGAATGGACGCTCCTATGGAGGATGGTTCTGCATGGCTCAATGATATAATTATGGATAATGAATCATAAGCACACCCCCACTTCGATCATGTGCTATGATGATGATTGCCCGAGTGAGTGAATTCGGGCACTCAACGACCCCGGTGAATACCGTGATCCCCGGGCAGCAGGGTTCCGCCCGCGTGGCGGATCCGACTCCGCCTTGAAATAATCATGATTGCTGAAAAGACCGGACGCCCGGTAGCACTACCCTCGTTCATTACTCTACAGCTGAATTCCTATACTCGGCCGTATAATTCGGGAGACGGGATTTTCTGAATCAGAGAGACTTTCTGGATCCGGATGCTCCTTCTCTCAAGTCTGACCTCTTTCAACTCACAGGTCTGGTCGTATCCTCATTGATTGATTGATTATTATTCATTTATTCAGTCAGCCCATGACACAAAATTTTCTTGTATTCATTGATTTGCGGTCATGCAGCCCCTCTGGCATGACCTCGAGAGGGAGCGTTTTCGAGAACTCAAATCGCATTCAAGGAGCCGTGACCAACCCCGCTCGTGAACCCCCCTCCTCCATCACTGCCACCGAATCCTCCTCCATCGCAGCCTCCTCCGAAGCCTCCGAGCCCCCCGAATCCACCGCAATCCCTCGACGATCCGAGACCATAGCCTAGGAGAGCACCCGTAGCCAGACCGCCGCCGAAACCGCCGTAGCCCCCATTCCCGCCAAAGCCGTACGGGTAGCCATTGAAGCCGTATCCCCCGTAGGGATGATACCCGAAGCCTCGACCAAGAGGGGGCATCGCATCCGAGTAACCTCTGTTGGCCAGGAGCTTGGATAAGCAGATGCATAAGAGAAACATCGCGAGACTGCCGAATCCACCGTTGGGATACCGTCGTCGATCATAATGATCCTGACGATTGTTCCTCCCCTCCGCAACCGAAAGTGTCGTCAACTTGTACTCGACTTGGCAGGTGTTCTTCACAATGCACTTCTCTTCGTATGTGCAATGAACTTGGGCGTACTGGAACTTATAGCCCGGGGGCAAGAAGTCGCTCTGGCACGTCACGTAAGGTTTCCCCGAATCTGACCATCCGTGCACTTTACAATCGACGATATCGTCCCCAAGACATTTCTCGGAGCGACAAATTGAAGCTGCTCCATGGAAGTTGATACTCGTGATCTTCTCCGGATCCAGCAGGTCAGAGCGGCACTTCGTTTTCGAACCAAGGGCAGCTGCAGTCAATCCTGATGTATATTCTGCTCCTACAGCCCGGAGAGGCGCGTCTTGGGCCATCGTCAGGGAGATCGTTGCAAGAACTGGAAGAAGCTTGGCTAAGCCATCCATTCTTCCTGCCATCGCCCCTGGAGGCAGCTCGGGTCCTCAGAGGGAGTTTTCTGCTATTGCCAGTTGCCAGCATTCGTTATCGAATGGGGAAAAAGGTCTCCTTGGTTTCTGACTCCTGACTGGAGAAGTACAAGCAATGATAAAACCCAAGGAAGAGATGTGCTCCGCTCCGCTCAGGTTTTGAACGGAACTGCTCCCTAGCTCGCCCCGTGTATCATGGCTTATCTGTGCTGCTCTCTGCTCATTTGGTCGGAGCCGTCCCATTGGGAACCGGGTCAATTATCCCTCATGTTTTAATTGGATAATGACATTAATTCGACCAAGCTGTGAGGGGTTGCGCCATATTCGCGCCGACATAAAATCCACGCCATGTGTACCTCTGAGCAAGGAAAATCAGCGAGAATCTCACGTGGGGGATGGGGTGGGGGGGTCGAGCCGAGAGCAAGTCCCAATAATATCGTCAGGGGAACAGAATCTATATCTTGTATTAGCGGGAAGAATTCGATCGAGAGGGATCGTGGTGTGAGGAGGGTGAAGACAGCACGGCGATAGGTCTCACGTACCTTGATATATCTTCACCATCACGATAGGGTATGGGGCATACGAGAGCATCGAGGGGAATTGAAATCCATGCAGAAACCTTGGAGAGCTCATCCGAAAGATTTCAGCGGCATTATCATCATAGGTGAGGCTGAGCACATCTGATTGTGAGTCAATTTTTGGACGAACCGGGCTTCTGAGGAGACCCAGTGATGAATTGATGAATTTCACTGGGCGGAACCGTTTCATAACAATCTCATCTTCCGGAGCCGGCGAAATCTAGATAGGAATGAAGGCGACGGCGGCCGAGTCGCTCGTCATGTATGGACCTCCACTCTCGGCCCTCACGGCTCAGATGTCCCAGAATATGACCCCGGCGAAGAGGTGGGAGAAATTGAAGAACGCACGCTGAGGAATCTACGCAGGTTGTTCGACCCAGATTTCGGAGAGCTCATCCAGCTTTTAAGTCCGTTCCGGACTCAGTGACTTCTAGGAGTATTTCGCCGCGGAGAGGGGGGAGGGATCGCGGCATCCGAAAACTGCGAACACGGAATGCAAGCTCGCACATCAGCAGGGAGAGAATCTATATTCTCCCTCTTGGAAGGGATGGGGACTCTCTCGGCAATATTCCGTCGACCGAGAGGGACATTGCATCAGACATTGAGAAATTAGAGGTCCGCTCCGTGTTCAGCATCCTTAGAAGGTACCCAAACCACATGAGTCATTTCAGCATAGGTAGATGTTCATGACGGACGTCCCCCGACGATCCCTCTACACGGAGTGATACGGTGAGCTCTTTCGAGAAGTACCAAGAGGAAGGGCCCTATCTTGGTCGACGAAACCTCGGTCAAAGGATTCCGATACCGTTCCTCTTCAGGAAAACTCCCATGCTTCAGACGAATCGTCGCTGGCAACTCCCATCGGAAGCGACAGAAGATGACCTCGAAGCCCAAATCAAACTTTCGCGCCGCATCATCATGAGAACGCTTTATGATGATGCAGTGTCTAGGACGACGCGACGGTTGGCTGAAGAAGTAGTTTGGAGGAGGACGGACGGCGGCAGCAGCTGAAGTCAACAGTGGCTCAGCAGACGACTGCGGTGTCTTTTTCTCTCAGGCAACGAGACAGAAGCGACCTCTGGCCGCGAAAAACGAAACCGTAGCTACGTTGTTTAGCTTGGCGGCCGCTGATTGCTGACAGTTTACATCTGGTCGGTTCTTGCGGCGGTGCATCGCCCTGCAGTTCTACGCAGCTGATTGCTTGGAGGCATTTTTTCCAGGACCCACGGCTGTCTTTGGATCCGCGGAAAAAAATATCCACTGTTTGAGGATGACGTCTACGCCTCCTAACTCGATCTGTGAGGAGAACTTGACCGGTGAGCCAACAAGTCTTCTCCGTCGCAATTCAGTCTTTTGCCCCCGACGTTGAAATCGGCGAGCTCTTACTCGCGAATTCCGCCTTCATGTGTTCGGAACGCGAGTCCGCGTCCACGGGTTTCTATTCTGGTTATCCGGAGCCTACTCCCTGTACTCGATGCCAAAATCATCACACCACAGGTTGGCGAATCAGCTGATTTTTTTCAACTTCTGGTGGTTTCTGGCTCAGTAGCGAACGGGTTGTTAAGGCGCCAGCAGCGGCGGCGGCCGCGGCAACGAACTGCGTCTTAGAATAGACTCCTGCGGGTAGGATGATATGCAATCAAACGACTGAACTTGCGTCGGGCTTACCCCGTCGAAACAGCTGATGCTGACGTCACTGCTCGGAGCTCGTTCATACGAGGGAGTTAGGGACGCCCAGACTCGTTGCTCCCGCCTCGGCCTCCGATGCTTCGCTCTATGAGCACTTCGGCCCGACCCAAGCTTTCGTAGATCGGAAGTCGGCGTAGGATATTTCACGTGAATAATTCCGAGTACCGTTGTGCGTTTCCGAAAGTTTTCATCGATCCAACGACAGCACGTTCTGAGCAGATGGAGCCAGCCAAAATCACGCAACTGATCGATTCGAGTGAGTGACGCTTCTCATAACCGAATTGAGAGGTTCTCGTAACATTTGCAAAAACGATGGAAAGACGGATAATTTTCCCCCGAGCGCCTCTGATAGCGCTCGATATTTGTGTCTCTTTGGGATAAGCTGTAGAGCCCGAAAATATTCCGAAAAATCGACGAAGAAAGTACATAGCGTCAGAGCTGCGGAACGTTACTGCGCTGCGAGCTCTCGGCCAATTCGGCTTGTGTACGCTTGTGAATTATTTGAGCTACTCGGTTCATCTCAGAGGCTGGTTTCGAGAGAGGGTGGAGTTCGCTACTTGTTGATGGAAGTCTTAGATTCTTGGGGGTGTGGAGATTTCTTGAACGCTATTGTTCTCAAGGAGCGCCTCTGGAAAATAAATTGTCGACGCGTTTTCCAGTTTAAGTTATATTATTATGCGGTCATTGAAAAATATTCCCATTGGAGAAAGTTCGAAGCGATCGGGGCCGGAATTCTTCGAATATTTGAAAACCTATCGCGAGGCGCGAGAATCACCGATCGCAGTCCGGGGGATATCCCGGCCGTGAACTTTTTGTGCTACTTCCCGAGCGAGCCTCTCAAGTCCGCCGTCAAGGAGCGCTTCCCAGAAAATGGTGAAGGTCTCGCGCAAAGAAGAGTCAAGGGGCATAACGCTCGCCGGCCTTGTGACTCAAGCCGTCGAATGAGGCTGACAGTCCGATTTCCAAAGAGTTGTTGGTCTCGTGCGAATGAGGGCCCTAAATCGAGCGACTCTAGCACGCCTTCTCTAGGACATCTGTCATCGCGAGCGCGCACCTCAACGTACGTTCGATATTGTAGCGCTGCGACCTTGCCGGTTCGGCGGCGCCGGACCTTGCCACTGGTCAACGTTAGGTTAACGGAAGAACGAACGAGCGTCTGTGGCGATGTTCCAGCAAGAATTACTGGAATCATCATGTGGGTTCTCTAACGCCGTAGTAGACTGCCACTCGACTTCGTTTGACCAAGCACGAGAAGACCACAGAACAAGCGTAATAAGCGGGTGCCGAGCACGCGTTGAAGCTCGTGATCAAGATGTTCGGATCACCGATTTCTCTAAGCGACTCCTGGTGAAAGTGATCGTTCCGGAGCGGAAACATTCTGTTGCTTGCTTCCATTGAGCAGGGAAGTGCTCACGCGGTGGATTTGTGATCCGCCCGGTGGGCTCCGCTCGAAATCGGAAATCCTGTTAACCCATCACGGCTCTCATTCAGGTTTTCGGAACAGAGGGTTAACGACCTCGCGATCTGATGCAAGGTTCACAGTGGCCTGATCTGAGGTTCCAGACTGGAGATGAGCGGTCTGTGTTTCCAGATATACGCCGTTCAAGCTGAAACGACAAACAACGTGATAGCCGTCGCTTTGAGCTCGCCTGAGGGACAGGAACTTCATGAGGGAGCGATGCATGCGTTGTTCGACGAAAAAAAAGCACCAGTCAAGTTCATTACCGTCATCATTCTCTTCTCAAGGAGGCATACGACGTGCCGTCATCCCCTCTTCGAGAGCGGCGAAAGTCGCGCGTCGACTCTGCAAATGTGGAAAAAATTATCCCGTCAGCCTAGTGGGGCCGAAGATGCCTGTTGCGCAGCCTCCGAAAAAGCTCTGCAGGTGAATTTCTGATGACAATCAGCAATTTATTCAATTCGAGCTATATCACGGGGGTACGGAGCATACCCCTTACATACGGGTGGGGATTCGTTCCGACGCTAGCTGCTCTCGACGGGAAAATCTCCGTGTCGGGACTTGAGTTGTGCTCGAAGACGCGAAATTCATCCTCCGATGCATGCGGCGACCGCTCATGGGGGAGTGCTCGATGACACATCCACTAAATGGCGTCACCTCATCCGCTCCCAAACTGCTCTAAGCGGCGAGCATATGCGCCTGAAGCGTAGTTCGGATAAAGCCGTTCCAGCCTTGCTGTTGAGCTTCGAACATCGTTCGCATCGGAGTGCAGGTGTAAACTTGTTGTCGGAAAATAATAATTCGTCTCTGTCGACTCCCCAGCGGCGTACCGCCGCTGACCTGTTCCGGTGCGCAGTAGTGACGACGACCGGCGACGGGTGACGTCGCGTCGGTTGCCTCTCTCGGGGATGGCGTTCCTCGACATCGCGCTATTATTTGTTTGTCTATTTCTCGCTAATCGCGCGGCAAACGTTGTGATTCATTCGGGGTACTAGTAAGCGGCCCTGACGGCATCGAACTCTCACGGAGGAAGGCGTACTGCGCCTCTTCCATGGGCCCGGCGTCTTTCTGATGCGCACGTGAATACCAGCTGACCGAGTCCCTCTCTCATCTCGCTACTCCCGGGTTCAAGACAGGCAACGTTCCTGCTCCGCATTCACTGACAGAAGCCGTGTCTGATTCAGCTGTGCCAACGCTTTCTGGGCGGATTCGAGCTTGAATTCGAACTTGAGAATTGTGTACCCAATCGATGCTCAGTGTGGTCGCGTTATAAGCGACGAAGGACATTAGTGAGCTCAAGGCGGGTCGGAACCCACAACGTACGTGTACGATGGCGAGTGGAACCCAAACTTACCTCATCACGAAAGACGATATTATCAACGACGGTAAGGCTGGAGATACGTCTGCTGCTCCAAAGGGTAGCTTACATTCAGATTTAG